ATTACCTCGTCGGAATGCCTATGTGGAGTCTAACAGCCGAAAGGGTAAAGCCTAGATAAATATACTATGGAGTCTACGTTAGGGCATATATCCTCTTAGTCGCCAAGTGGCTTTACCACTGCCACCTCAGCTGGATCTCTGATCTGTTGCAATAAGAGGCGTGTTCCACTCCCACAGCCAATGGCAGGGATGTTCACATACTCTTTGTCTGCTGCATCGCTTGTTGGCCACAGGTGGAGGAGTTGAAGCGACAACTGCGCGATAAGGAAGTGGAATTGGAGGGTCTGCGGCAAACAGATATTCGGACTCTGTGGCTCAAAGACTTGGATGCTCTTCTAGAAGCTATAGAGAAGCAGGTGATGTATCTTATGAAACAATCATATACCCTAGCATAGCTGCGGCAACTCGGGAGGCAGCAGAAGATGCAGTAGTTGCATTTGGTCCAACCAGGTCGAGGCAGGTTGCCTGTCCGCCTTTTACTTATCCTGGAGTATTGTTTCGTTCCCTGCATTTTACGTCTTCAGGACGCGGCTGACATGAAACAGAGAGAAGCAGACTTGGCCTTCCATAGGCAGATGGAAAGCAAGAAGGGTCTTAAGGGCTTCTCAGCTCTTAAGGGAAAATCTAAAGCTGCCAAAGGCGGCGCCCCCAAAGCTGCGCCTAAAGTGGGAAGTGCCAAGTCGACATCTAAGGCTCGCAAAAAGGTATTGTGACGAGAACTCTTTTAGTTTCTGAATAGGTGTTGGTTCCGCAAAACGGGAGAACATTGTCTGTATCGTTGCACGCTTATTCATGCAGAGCTGAGTGCATTGGGCTGCGTCGATATGGAATGCGAACGCGCAGGCACAGTCAAGCTCAGAAGAGTCCGTGAGCTCGTCAGAGGATACCGATGGATCTACNATGCGAACGCGCAGGCACAGTCAAGCTCAGAAGAGTCCGTGAGCTCGTCAGAGGATACCGATGGATCTACCGATGAACTGAGTCTAGCCGACGACACATCTGAAGACGATCGGCCTTCGAAGAAGCGTCCAAGACCACAAAAGAAAACAAACGGAGTGAAGCCCCACGAGGAGTCCTCAAGCAATACGCATCCCACCTCGACCAGCACCGACGCTCAGGGACTGCCGCCTTTCTTAGCTTCACAGGAAACCCCCAAGGCATCGACCGACAAGGAAGAAAAACGTGCAGAACCTCCAAAAGCTCCACCTATCCAGTCGCTCTCCCTTCTCGATCGTCTGCGACTTGGGGGAAGCAGTTCCTTTTCTTCCTTAGCTCCCGTCCGCACCAAGCAGCTAACGCTAGACGAGATCTTTGCTCCCGCCAGCAGCAGCGCAGCTAAGCCCTCCGAAGCATCAACATCTTCGCAAGCTGCCCCCTCGAAGGCTTCAGACGTTTCGTAAGTAGCATTGTGGCCAGAACGCGCTGACATTGAGCATTGCAGAGTCCNTCGAAGGCTTCAGACGTTTCGTAAGTAGCATTGTGGCCAGAACGCGCTGACATTGAGCATTGCAGAGTCCCTCTGTGCATATTCGGGTGTGTCTGCAAAACGTAGACAAACTTGGCTCTACAGGCTATTATGCGAGCTATACATGAGGCGTGGTTTGCATGCATGCAGGACAGGGTCTGCAGCGCCAAGAACCGCAACTGGTGATTCTGCAGAACAATCTAAAGACTCTGATCCGGAGTCAGCAATCACGAGAACCCCCCCAAAACCGAAACGACGGAGAGTGCTGGCGGACTCTGATGATTCAGACTCACCCACAAAGTCTGCCAATAGATCCAAGGCTTCCACCCCGAAGAGGTCAGCTCCGTCGACACCACAGAAGCCAAAGCCTCGTGGAACGCCTAAGAAACGCAAACCTAAAAGCGACGATGACGAGTCCGATTCATCGAGGGGTGGAGGTGAGCGTATCTTCCTATCTGCATCACCCTGTTGATCGCCTTGTCTCATGTATCTTGACTTTGGAGCACAGTTTAGATAAATATTCCATCTCTCGCACGTGACAATACTTAGATGATTGGCAAAGTCTAAATAAAAAACACGGGGGTACGGCGAGGTTTTGTTCCAACTAGGCGTGTGTTGCAATGCCTTGTAGCTCCCTTTGTCAATATTGGATTTCTATATGTTATCTTTTCGAATTCAGATCCGGGTATAGAAGAATCCCCCATTGCATCAAACAGGCCCCGCCGAGCAGCGGCGCAGGCGCCCAAGAAATATACCGTCGACTCTTCAGACTCGAGCGAGGGGGAAAGTGAAGCTTCTGAAGAGGCTTCTGAAGAGTCTTCAGAAGCGGAAGTTATTTCTGAAGACGACGATTAGTTTAAGGAAGAGTTTCGAGAGTTACCTCGAGCCTTATTTACGTACACGTTTGTCACTACTTCCTTTTCTAGGGGGTGCGCTAGACCCCATCTATGCATTTGTCACTGGGCACCTGAGTGTCGGGCCGATAAGCATTAGAGCAGTAGAACATGTATTTGTTTTTTGCTCTCAAGTGATCGAGGCACGCCTCCTCTGAGCTGTCATAAGGTATTTTCGTGCCAGGTGTGCCTTGGCCACCCCGAGGCGATGTTTCATATAAAACGAAAGTTAGAATCGTTTGACAATTCAAATAAACAGCGGAGCGGCTGCTTTTCTTCTATGTAAGATTTGATAGATGACAAATGCGAGTTATCACTTCAGAGCAATAAAACAAAAAATTAGCTAGTGTCTCGACTCGAACGGATTTCCTGTTGGCGATTTCTCCAGAAGACCTAGGAGTCACCGCACGCACACAAACACAAACGGCTATTGAGCGCGTTTACGCAGCTGGCTATAGCTGAATGAGCTTCAAGGGGAGTGACGAAGCTATAGATTATTAAGTACCTCTCCATAAGGAGCGTATATTTCTGACCCCTTCATCACATCTTTCGTAGCTCGCAGAAGAACGCGTCTGGGCACAATTAGACACAAAGCAGCGGTGCATTCTTGTCGAACTCAAACGGACTGCTGTTGGTGCCTTGCGTTGTTTGCAAAGCTCGTTGCTGATGGACTTGTGTTTCCTGCTTTCCGCGCACCTCTGTTGCTTTATTTTCACAAACTCTGCGTTGATGGCGTTTTTGTCTTTGTTGTCATTGCAATACCTTGCGAATACCTATGGTACAAACAGTAGAAAGAGCAAGTGCTGGTGCCACGACACATTAGGCACGTAGTCAAATGGGATATGCATTCTAGTAGGAAACTGCCCATAGTTCTGCTGAATTTCTTCTTGAAACATTCCAGTGATGCTCGGACTTGCCTTTAGGTGGTTGGTGGCGTCTATATGGCAGTTTATATGCCCTGTACCCATCACGTATTGTCTGTCTTTCATGTGCATGATTTCCCTGTGGACACGCACGCCCTCTATCTGCTCTTTGCGGTGGATTATATAAGCAAATATAAATGTTTATGAAACACATCTTTACACTTTGTCATGCGGCCGACAAGTCGGGGAGGTTCTCTGTCTAGAAAGAAAGCCTTTCTCGCAGGAAATATTCATGGACCGCTGAGATACCGGTGTGACCATGCATCAGTCATTGCGCACATCAGGCTCTTCTTTTCGCCGATGTATTCGCATATCCACGTTCCTGCCCTTATGCCTGCGGATGCGACAAAGGGGAACTCCGAAATATATATCAACAGCCTTGAATTACCAATATGCATGGCGGCCACAATAATTAGCGCCCACCTCTCGCGGGAACATAGTGTTTTTTTCTAAGACAAGCTGCAGCGGACAGCCGTTGTGTCACGTCTGATGACTGCTAGAGGACGTTGTTCTCACCTTCTCCTGCGAACAGTCCCAAGCCAGCGTCCGGAATTCGCGAGGCGCTGATAAGTAGAGCCCCTGGAGGGAGAAAAGACCCATCGGGATTTCTCGGTAGATCTGGCAACGGGTTCTCTGCAGCTGGTATCATTACAGGTCGAAAGGTAAAACGTCAACTCTTCGATCGGAGGGACTTTGGGGGCCCCGACTCGTCAGTATCGAGACGATGACGACGGAACTTTGCCGGCGAGGCAGATCCTCAGTATTTAGATCTACAAAGAATGTTCATATTGCGACAATTCACAGCATAAAAGGCAATTTTTGGTGGCGGGAGCAACGAAAATTTTATTTCCGTTCAGGTTGTGCACAGCAGTCGCCGACGGAAACCTGTCGGCGGCTCTTTCCATCCATTGGCACTTTGAAACTGGGAGGAAACACCGTTTCCCCTTTAATGCCTGAAAGTCGAATTGCCATTAAAAATGAGTACAGGCTCGTCTTTGGGAGCAATAAAAAGGCCATCAGTATGCTCGAGGGGTGACGGGGCCCCATACGCTGGCGAAGCAGAACGCGCCATTCGTCGTCAGTACTTAGTTACCTGTTGCCATTTTGACTCTATACAAAGGTAGTTAAATTCTATACTTCCTAGGGAGTATAGAATTATATACTCCATAGGGAGGTGCTAGGCACCGGTTGCCTCTACCTAACCGACCTGCAGCGGGCCAATACTATGTTCCGTTCCGATCCATATTATATTGGCTTGTTTTATCCCATGAAGCGCACATACATGTACAGTAAGCAGTGCACGCTATTCAGTATAAGTGATTCCTTGTTAGCTGTAAATCTGAAATGACTGAGTAGCCCGTCTGAAGTTGCAAGTGTTGAACGTTTCGGTTCTTTGCCCGCGTCGTCGCTGAGTAGTGTTACGTAGGAAGTCCTCGGTCTTAGCTGAGGGCAGTCCTGAACTGAAATACAGCCAAAAGAGGTATAGAGCCCCAGAAACTGTTGAAATCCTCTCCAGTATCCAGGTGTCCTGGCAGCATTGGCACAGGTGTCGAGGACTGAGAAGGAGCGGCTCACTAGTTGCTGCACACCTTGCTGCAGCTCTTGCTACCCTGAAGTTCTATATGCAAGTAAACGCGAGCCCCCTTCCCACGCATGCACTACCACTGCAAACAAATGCTAACAACTAACGTGGATATTTGTAACCAGGGCATAAGTAAAAACACTGCAAAATCCTGACACAAAATCTCCCGATCGCTGCCCTGCCCCAAGCCGAGCAAGGCATTTCTTCGTCTATATGACTTCCAAGGAAGGAAAGCGTGCAAAGAAGGGAGGGGAGATTGTCGCGTGAGCGACCAGGGCCTCAAAGACAGAGAAGGAAGCCGATGCCGACAAGGCGGTAGGGTGAAAGGGGGAGAACGCGTTTTCCTGTTCTGCTTACTTCTGCGGCTGCTGCTGCCGGCTCACATCCCCCTGAGGGCACCCAATGGTGTCATCGCGTTTCACACAAGGCGCTCTGCTCCTTGCGGCCTGTTTGAGAGTTTGCCTAAGAGCTTGCAGGCAGCTTACTGAAGGCCAAGTAAATGTTCAACAATTGCTTACAGTGATCGTTCATGCAACGGGGGGGAAACCTATTGTGCTTGCACTCGCGGTTGCCGTGTAGCACTAGTTGCAGGCAAGAGCTCTGCACCCCCAGAACGAAACATCCCCACCAGCCCCACGCCGTTGCGTGGTTGTGCGCCGGGCAGGACGCCTTAAACCAGGAAGAAAGGCCAACTGCCTTTTTGGATCTATGAACCTCGGCCTATGATTCTATTGTAGCTCGCGCGGGTCCTCAGCTACGATTGAGAGCGTTCACTACAGTTACTGCTTTCTGCAGCTCTTGCTGCAAAGTTAACGCATAGGCAGGTGCACCCGAGCCTCCCTTTGTTGCACTTACTGACATCGTATAAACTTTGGGAACGCTCACTTGGCCAGCAGCACTAAACCGGTAGTCAATAGAAATTCATGTACCAACATAAGACAGACCATGTGTTGTTTCAGCACGCTGCAACTGGAAACACGAATAGGTTGCCTGCGCCAGATCCCCCATGATATGTTTAGAANTGTTTCAGCACGCTGCAACTGGAAACACGAATAGGTTGCCTGCGCCAGATCCCCCATGATATGTTTAGAATACAAAATAGACTTTCGAATATATTTGATAACAGTTCTGCGTATAGAAGAAAAGAAAAGCCAAAAGGGAAATTGTTGCATGCACTCTGCATGCACATGCAGCAACTCGGTGCTGTAGCCCTGGAGGCTGGGAGCCTGCGGGGTCCTAGGCAGGGGAGCCCCGCAAGTTTGTGTGGCTTATATTGACAGTTAAGGAGAATAATGGCGGCGAAAGGGCTTTGAGTATTATATTTCCCTGTCGTGCGTCATAATGCAAATTTTCGTGCGTTCATATGCGGGGGAATCTCTCCCCGTTGAGGTGTCGGCCACCTCGACGGTGCTCGAGCTCAAGCAACACCTGGAGGCACGATTAGGTACGTTGTGGCCGTAATTCCCTGACTTCTTGTTGGCTTTCTTCATTTTCCATTTCATATTACATCCGTAGGAGTTGACTGACAGCAGAAACCCCTCCACGACGCCCCNTTCTTCATTTTCCATTTCATATTACATCCGTAGGAGTTGACTGACAGCAGAAACCCCTCCACGACGCCCCTGGGCGCTCGCCGTCGGTCGTGTGGGGGGCAGTGTCCATCTGCTTAAGTTGCCGAACCAGACCGTCTAGCTTGTGTGATACATGAACTCTCTTTAATGTTTTTGCGAAAACTACAAAGTTTTTACCCGTGCGCCTCGATAGCGACCTCTCAATGGCCCACATAAGTTTCCTCGGCTCCTCTCTGAGATAGACGAGGCTGAGGGCCACAGAACTATTCAGATGTTCATTCAAATTTTCAGTTGCTGATTGAAGTTTTCTACGGAGTGCTGTATTTTCCATCCAATTCTCTTCGTTTCAATACATTTGTGCTATGCATCAGAGGTGGAACAGTGGACCTAGGGCTGCGTGTGGGTTGTGGTGGTGCTGCAGGTGTTGCTGCGTCCGTGCAGCGCCTTTTCCTCGGCGTTTCTGCCGTCGATGATGCGGTGACTTTGGAGGAGGCGGGTGTTGAGGAGGTAAGAAAAGCAGCGTTTTTTCTTTGTTTCTAGCTGCATGAATTGTGGATATTTCGTCCAATATTGTGTATAAAATATATGTATATATCTAATGTTTATGTATTGTATATAGAATGTGTACTTCTATAGTGCATATGCGTACATAGAATTTATAAAATGTATATGGCAGTATCTTTTGTTGATGATATCTCAGATAGGGACATCTGACAATGAGGAGTCATAATTTATTCGCTAATTTATCTGAAAAAAGGAAACTGCCATGAAATATATATATTGTTCATGTTTTTTACATCTCCAGTGGTTTATGTGGATGGTG